CCCAGAGGCCACCTGGGGCAGGAAAATCTTTGTGCCACTATTCTGAGCGCACGTAAAAAAAAGTTTGCAGGTGCAAGTGTTGCATTTTGAGGAGAAAATTATTTTGATGTAGTCGGTGATTTTTGGTCAGTTCAGCCTTTCATATTATGTTTAACCCGAGTGACCCGGTCAGCTGGTGGGTAACAGGCATCTCCGAGAACGTTAGAGCTCTTATGCAAATATGTGATGTCTTGATGAATGGAGCAGGTATTAGAAGTTTACACAGAAACATTCTCTCCTGAAAATATCTTAAAAGTTTACTTCGTGACCCAGACAGAGTAATATTTCAAACTCCGCCCCTCTGTGTTCCTCCACCACTGCCTCGTTTGAGTTTCGGACAAATGGATTCTGGGATCTTGCATTTCGTCATTTCGAGCTGATTGGAGACCAGAACAGCCAATCAGATTTTTTTGCATCCAAGTCTGTGATTGGCTGGTTTTGTGGCACAAACATAACGGTGTAGAGAAAGAGTTGAGCACGCACGGGCAGAAATGTTGAGAGCGCGAGCAACATGCAAAAACTGAGCGAGAGGGGCTGTTGGGGGGTGTGTGTGTGTGTGTGTGTGTGTGTGTGTGTGTGTGTGTGTGTGTGTGTGTGTGTAACAGCAAACGCTGAAATACATTTTTTGCACGCAGGAATGAACTTTGTTCACTCAAATTCAACTTTTCTTCGCTCAAAATGCAACACTTGCAAACGTTTTTGCGTGCGCTCAATACAGATCTATGTAGAGTTTGGTGACACTGACTGAACTGTGTCGCAGACCTGGACAGAAACTATCACCGATTCCTGTCAGTGATGCAGTGTGAGGTTTATTATAGACAAAAGGTATTTCCATCTCTTCTGGTTATTATTATCATCAAGGACATTTTACAGACATTATGAATCAGACTAATTTAGGAAATAATCAGCACATCAGCCAATAACAGAAACATTAGTTCCTTTGTGCTCTATGCACTGATGCACAGCCTGGATCAGCCTCTACGCTGACACCAACCTAACCAGACTGATTATGGCCTTTATTAAATCTATGCTTAGTTCACTTATGTCAGCTCCTCTCAGTTTGAGCTCATGAAACTTTATATTAATATCCTTTGAAGTATGTAGAAAAACACTGATATCAGGCTGGTACACTCATATCTGTGTATGTTCACATCAAGTAAAACTATATGCTGTAGATTTCCAACACTGATATTAATGTGAACAAATAGTAGGTTCAGTAAATTGAACCAAACATGAGAAATAAGTACACGTTTCCCTTTCCCACCTTTAAATCTCTTTATTAGCCATTTCCAAGTATTCCTAATGACACCGTCCTGTTTACAGATGCGTCATGTCCACAGAGATCACAAGTCATCTTTAACAGGCAGATTTCAGGCGTCCATGCTGAGCAGAGAAAGGATGAGACATCTGAACTCAGCATGAGGCAGTGAGCTGTTGTGAAAGAGCCCATCATGAGGAGCAGAGGGCAGCCAGAAGAAAAAATAAATCACTTTACATGCATATTTCCCATCATGCTACACACGGAAAAGCAACATAAGCCTGAAAGCCACAGATCGAGGGATATCCAAGTGCCACAAACAGCTCCACGGCATCGATAAACGTGTCAGGAGGAAGGCACACAGGCTGCATTTTGCGGTTATTTCAAGCTATAAAGAGGCTGACCGAGCTCAAAATATGACCGAGCATTTTCTTTGTTGTGTTTTGCCCTGTGGCAAATCCACCAAATAACCACGCAAGTGAGGAAGGATGGGTGTGCAGCTATTTCATCGTGGTTACTATACAAACCTACACTACACCCTTTATGCTGCCCCGAGTTCTTCCTGTGTGTTCACTCTCAGCACAGCAGGTCTGCAGGTCAAGGTCAGCATCAATATTCAGCACTTGTTAAGTTATTCATCAGTGTGCAGCATTACATTTTCCATATTTCCAGAACATGTTTCACTGGACCATTTTTCCATTACACCATACACTCTTAGCTGGCTCCATCTACAAAACAGCGTATTAGTAGATTTTGATGACTAATATAAATAAAAACTAATTAGCTACTAAAGCTTTAAGATAAATGTAGTTTAGCACCTTTTCCACTCGCCCTTGTAAGCTGCTAGAAATAGAGAGCCGAGGCTTCACATTGCTTAAAACTGAGCCCAGCTTATTGCTTCTTTTGAGGAATCTGTGTCGAGCTCCACGGAGTCGAGGAAGAGGACAGGAAGTCAGACGCAGAATCAGCAGAGAGAATGAGCTCAATTTTCAAAATAAAAGACCCCAAGCAGACCAAGTTCTTCTGAAACACCTGGAACATGATTACAAAGCTGGAACAAAACTGCATCAGTCATGACACCAAAGACACACACCTGGTGTGTTTTGGAGGTAAATCTGCCAAATTTACAGACGGAAGCCAAACAAGACGTCTGTCTGTTTACGGGCAGATTTCATTTCATCTTCCCTTCCAATCCCACAGCTTTGTCACTAAAACAAACAGCAGTGGATGAGAACAGCTGAGGAAGAAAAACACTTTTCTTCATGTTCAAGCTTGCTGATCAGGTAACACCTGTAAAGGTTTAGATTGTGATCAGTTTCAAGTCAAACCTTGTTCTTTAATGTGCGTCTGCGTTCATTTTAACCCTTCTGAAACCCCACGTCTCTGAGAGGCCGATGGATCAGAGAGAAAAAGCCCACCGCCATCAAAACGGCAGAGCAGGACACAAGTGAATAAATGCTGACGTCGTCGTCAGGCACTTGCAGAGGCGAGGCCATAGCTCTTAGATTCAACACAAACTTACAGAATTAAACTTTAGCACCACCTTCAGCGATGTAACAAGACTTTTCAGGCTGCTCTTATAAAAGTGAGCCCTGCTCCGGTTTACAGTTCATGCAGATCTACAGTCACAAATGTGAAACAAACTCTTCGCCTTCTCTAATAAACATTTCCTTATTTCAGTACCTCAAACACTTCATTTCATGGTAAACCGGCTGAAACCAGCATGAAAAGCAAATCAAGCAAAGGTTTGATTCACAGGTGAAGTCAGCTGCAAGGAGCCGGCCAATCAGTGTGCTCGACGTCATTTTTAAACTCAGGCCATCAAGTTTTGTTGAACCTGCACGTGCTGAACAAACAGCGTTAGAAACAAGATGACCTGAACTATCAGACACATTTCAGCTTTAAGCAAAAGGGTCAGTAAAAACAGCAGGACAGTGACAGGTTCAACAACAGTGGAAATATAACTGTGTTTAGACTCTGGAGATGGTAAAAAGCTTTAATGTCTTTAGCCCACTATAATAAAGGCCTTTTGTCACCTGTTGGTCTAATAATCAGTTTTCTTTTTTAATAAGATTAGGTGACGCCTCACTTATGAGGCCAAAAGTGTACATCAAAATACAATAATCAACACTATTCTTCAAAATAAAAGCCTGATAAAGAAAACTAGCAGGCCATTAACCCAGGGAAGAAACGTCTGTCTTTTAAAACTCCTCTGAACCGCAGCATTTTAAAACTGCGTGGGGGGGTCAGCTTTAAAATCAATATAAAGACAAACTCAAAGTAATAAGGTGATTCTGATTACACAATTTTAGTCAAACTGAGCCAATTATTTCACAATTACATACTGCCGAAGACGCAGATTTATGGAACAAAGTTTAGAACTTAGACTTCACCATAACTTGAGTCTATTCCGACACCTTAAAACAGAATTATAAACAGACGTTTAGATTACAAGTCACCGTGCAATCCCACAGTTACTCATGAAAGCAATGAGCCCACACACACTGTCCATGTGACAAAGACATATATGAATAGAAAAACAGACATTTGACGACTATCAGTTGTGGACTGACCTCCACAGAGGCATTGAAGCACTGTGGGATCATGTTGACGGACCAGAACAAAAGACAAACATCCAAAGAAAAGCTCTGAATGTCTGAAGCCTGGAGGACTTTTTTAAAAAGTGCTCAGATAACATGATTCAAACTCCTTAGACTTGTAAAAACTCGGATTTTGCCTTATTTAGATTTTTATGTTGAATAAATCGCTGCACACATTTCCCATTACTCCAGAAACACAAAGGAGTGAGGTGTAACTCGGACTCTTGCTGTATATTGTCCTGGATCCTGACAAATTCTGGGACTCCATAAAAGGGAAGCAATAATAAGTGAACTAAACTAAAGAGTTAGAACCGGTACAACTGCCATCGACTCTTAATATCTCGTTTTAATGATCAGTGTCTAAAATAAGTGCACTGTTTAAATTAAGGAGAACTGAGGACGCATATCCAGGAATCTCGATTAGTATGAAAACAGACCTTTTCCAGCAGCTGCTTCGCTCTGGCAGCTCAGTGTCAGCACTACCTCTGACTCCGAGCTTCTCCTAATATCTCAGGAAATGAGCGACCGTATCGCTGCTCCGCTCCACCAGTTGTTCCAGGAGTGTGTCCTGTTCGAATGACCAAACCGCACCGCACGGTCCACGGGGCTGTGCTCGAAAAAACCTACCCCCAACGGATACTTGGGTATATTTTGAATATAATGATCCCCGGCGTCTGTTAATTTGGAAAATATTCGCTGTGATTATTCCCCGGAATGGAGTCAGGCGCTGCTACGCAATACTGTTAGCTCCCATTAGCCTCTGAGGCTCGATTAGCCTGGTAGCTTCGTCTGCTGCCCGAACGATGGATGGACCAGCTTCAAATCAAAACACAGCCTCTATGTGACCCACACTTATCAATCGCTTACACACATGTGTGGTACTGGGACTGTATTCAACATAAAGGCTGTCTTCTCACAGTCAAAGGCAGAGGCCAGGACAGACTAACAGCCTGGTGTAAAATGGCAGCCTAGCTCCTCGAGCTTCTCAATAATGAGTCAGGAAAACAGTTCGCTAACCGCCTAGCATTAGCCTGCTGGCTCTCCGCTTAGCAAGCTGGGAGGAAAAAAATCTCCCCCGGCCCAGCTCGAAAATGTCACCTTACCATTTTAAGGCAGTCCCAGTCACTTTGTAATCGCCGGATGAGTTGTTTTTCAGTCCCAAAATCGGTGTCCCGCCGCCGTCTCCGAGTGTGTTTGCTGTCGGTTGCTAACTACGACTGCTGCGCTGCTTCGTTCGCACAAAGATCAGCTCACAGCGCCGCGGCCACTGACTGCAGTTGCTTTCAGGCTCCCTCGGAAACACGCATACGCTCTTTATCATAAAAGAATACGCGGGCTATGAAATACGTTTGTTTCTGCCACTGAAAAAAAAACATGCCAGGCAGAGGTTCGTCAAAATTTCAACTAACCGACTCAAAGTTGAACTTTTAAAATAATAACTTACATTTTTAACTTAACTCTGCCTGGCATTTTTTTCTGTAACTGAAAAAATACTTCATAAATAACACTGTGAAAATAATATTGGAAGGTTTTTTTTCCAGAATATTCCAAAATGAAGTGAAAATACTATTCCAGATGAAATACTAATAATACAGTCTAAATAAAATCCAAATACTGACAGCAAAGTTGAAGTGCTTATGATTTACCCCCTGATTATTTGGATAGATGTGTATCAGTGGTTTGCTATGAAATACTAGTTAAATTGTGAAATACTTCTCTGTATCTGCAGTTATAACATCTGGAGTTCCACAAGGATCTATGTTGGGGGACTGTTGTTGTTGTTGTTGTTGTTTTTCTTCTGTGGCTCATGGACAGTTTGCTGTTGTGTGTTTTTTTATGCAAGTATCAAAACCATGCTGGTACTGGTATTGGATCCATACTTTCTGTCCTTTAAGTTCAGCATTCATGCACTGAATTGTGTTCATTTGTGTTAAATAAATCAGTACTGGTATCAGCAATACTGGCCCTGTATTTATTTGGTATCATATCAATACCAAAATTTGCAGCACTACCGTGTGTGTAGACGGAGCCTGAGAAACATTCTGTTTTTCTCTCTCTATTTAATATAAAGTACATTCATTTAAATGCATTATGTAAATAACATTTACTTACTTACTAAGAATAAAGTCAAGACATAATTATGAGATTCAGATTTGCAGAACAAACAAAGAATAAAACCTAAACTATTCACCAGGTCGGTGTCTTTCAGGCGCTAATGGAGAAATCTTCAGCTTACTTTATAAAACCCAGAACAATACAAACACAGAACAGAGGTCAATCGCAGGTCAGGTCTTTTTCAACAATATCAAAGATTACACATCGCTTGTGAAAGACCCTTCATTGATTTTATGTAATACTCTTGTTAATTTATTACTTAAATTCATTCATTAAACAGCCAGAACAAATGACACAAAATGACATAACTGAATATGCATTGTTTAAATTTAATGAAATACTCAATAAGCCTGTTTTAAGAACCAAACCTTCTGCTCAGACTTTGTGTTTACAGTCTGTTAATGGTACTTATTGTAAATAACTGTGTTTAATGTAAAGAGACGACTGATTTTAGTTTGTGCTGAACTTCAGTAGAACTAAGCCTTATGTTCATTATCAGTTAGAGCCCCTCCTCAGCCTTTTCTTCTTCTTCTTTGGTGCAACCCTATAAATACAGTGTACCCCTTTGGCCTCTCCCCTTTCCTACAATTCCCCTGTGGGAGGGGTTGGTGTCCTTTCTTTGTACAACACACATATACAGTATATTTAGCCACCCTGATGTTTCTGATTGTGTTTTTAGTTCTATTATTGTCATCACTGTGTCTGTCTTTGCTAGATGCTGTAAATGTGTAGTACGTGTGTGCCGCATATGTGTTATAGGCACAGTCAGTGCAATGACAATAAAGTTGAATTCTAATTCTAGCAACGCAGGAACACACCGGTCACATATACATATGATTTTACAATATGTTTTGGGTTTTTAAAACCTTTTTTGCATGCATGTTTGATCTATATTACTGTTCCCACAGCTTGTATCTTGGCTGTGTTTTTGTATTTTATAGCTTAGTCAATATGGTGCATACCTGCCAAAGAGCTTACAGATGGAGATTAGCTAGGAGCTCAATCTGGTACAAGGCATTTCCCTGTTGTGTGATCAATGATTTTGTGCAGGCTCTGTAACATGCAAACGAACAAACAAAGAATGAAGTTATCCACCAGGCTGCTGTCAGCCTGGTTAAGCTTAACATTGAGTCTTTTTTCAAATGAAACATTAATCTGTGCTCTACAGCAGAAAAGACAGAAAAGACAGGAGAGCTGCGAGTGCTACATGTACGATACTTTATTTGCAGTTTTTAGAAATGCGCTTGTTCAGCATGTGGCTCAAATATAACGAAGATCCAAACCCTAAATGACTTTAACTTAAATGACTTCAAACATGCATGTGTAGGCTTATCATTCAAATCTGATAAAAACCCGTTTGAAACGCTGGTGTTTTTATCCAAAAATCAAGTTTACAGAGATTTTATTGGTTTAAAGTTAATATTGTTTGTCTTGTCTTTATATAATAGTTTTTACTTTAATTACATTTCTTATATTTTCTCATTAAATGACCAGAAATTTGAATTTTTTAACACTGGAAAAACAAACACAAACATTCTAACGCTGAAATGTCTGAGCTTCCCCGGATCCCCTGAATGCTGCACCTGCTCCACAAAGTCGCCTCCCTATAAGGACTACAATCATGGCCTCACAAAACAATTACAGCTGCTTCCCTACAGCTGTCACGCATGCGCAAAGGTGGGTTTTAGTTGCCATATGACACATTTTAATTATGCGTTCGTGATACAGAAGAATAATGCTGACATTTAGCTTCCTGCTCTTTAATGTGTGTATGTGAAGGTTATGCAAAGAATTCAAAGGGCTCCTCTGACTTGCATTTGACTCATACTAATGAAACATTATAAAAATAACCACAGTCCTCCGGTTCACTGTGTCTGTGCTTCTCGCTGTGCTGTGATCGTTCTTCATGATGGTGTTTTCCTACTGGAAGCTGAATGCTCTCCAGTCACCTTTCCTCTGTGTGCAGTGTGGTGGTCAGTCACCGTTTACCCACCCTGAGCTCCGCCACAGCCTCTGAAACAGCCAGAACACGACCTCTGCTGGCATGGGAGGAAACACAAGCTTGGATTCTAGCAAGGAAGCAGCCTCATCAGAGTCAAAGGGAAGGTGAATCCTCCCCGACCATGTCCGCTGATGCTCCTGCTTCACGTTTATCAGTAAATCCTGAGACGCAGGAGGTAAATTAAAGCTTCAGGTGTCACTGATTCTTCACATGAGTGCATGCACAGATATATAAAGTTTTACAAAATCTAAAGAAACAATCTGCCTCTCACCTCCAGGTGGTGTTGTGTGTGTCTTCTAAAAGCTTGTATCATCTACCACCTGTCAATTTGAGTTTTTTATGTTTCTATAGCAGCCAGATGTTGGAGGTTTCTACTGCAGCTGGGCTGCAGGTAACTGAAACTGTTTGTTTATAAAAGAGTTTAAAAAAATTCTAAATAGAAATCAACACTGGCCAGATTCAGCAACCAGCGGCTGCACCCCAGACCGCTGCCTGAGCCACCAAGCACCAAACCCCTACGACCTCTCCTGTGGGTAGAAATCAGAAATCCGGACATGCCTCAAACACCTCGTGGGTGAGGCAGCCAGGTCCTACCTCTGAAATGTCATTGGAGGCAGTTTCAGAGTCGTGGAATAACACCGGGAAAACTTTACGATCTTCATCTTGAAGAGGAGTTTTTCTAAATGTCAAAGAGCAGGAGCGCTGCTTTGCACACTGAGCTGTGACGCAGAGAGAGAAGCTGCTTGAACATTTATTGTAAATATTAAGTGAACATATTGTTATTGGTCACCTGTCCTCTGTGCTGGCCACAGCCCGTTTATGTCAGTTCTGCTCTGTTGTGTTTGAATTACGTAAGAGTGAAGAGTGGCGTGATGCGTTCACAGGCCACACCTCACAGTCGGTCAGAGGTGTTACCTGAGTCTGCTTGTTGCAGCAAACCTTTTTATTTCCGGTGTTTGCAGTTTGAACACGTGGCTGCAGATTTAATGAAAACTTCAAATAAAATAAAAACAAAGGTAAAGAAAATGCATCAAAATCCTACAAAGAAAAATTAATCTAACCAAACACATCCAACAGGTGAGCCTGGAGTACCTGTGAGCAGTGAGCCAGCTTCTGTCTGTGTGTTAGCACACAACTCTTTATATTTATCACATTCGGGCCCACGATGGTTGCAGTTTGAGCTGCACATACAAGATTCCCTGAGCTCCATGTTACTGACGTGATGGCTGAAAGCTCGGAGGAAGATGTTTGAATCATCGACCTGTTAATAAAGTTATTTCCTATTTCAACTTGGATAAAAAGTAAATTTTCATTTGACCACAAAGCTACTCACAGAACTGTGAAACAACCATAATCGAACCACTATATGACAACAACGGTGACATACGTGAGCTCTGACATCTGTTTGTTCATCTGTAAATATTTCACTAAAAAGACTTATTTAAAGTTTGCTCCTTAAATATGTGATTTCTATGTTTGAGCTGCAGCGAGGAGTCGAGGCAGGAGGAGACGCTCAGCTCGTCAGGACGGACGTTTCCTCCAACACCGGCTTCTTCATCTGAAACGACATCGAGAGAAAAGTAACAGAAAAGTATTTTCTCTGTGAAATCTTCAGTCCGCTGCTGTTTGCTGTGATCGTACTGATATAACAACAGATAATGACCTGCTGGATGCTCAGAGTTTAAACGAGCTCAGGCAGAGCTTTCACTGGTGGAAGCAGCAAAGAGCTGCGTTCACTGACGACAGTTTTCAGAAGTGTTTCTGATCTCTGAGCGAGCTGCACCACAGAATCAGCTGCACCACCAAGTATTTTAATGATATTATGAACCGCAGATGATAATTAACTACACTCACTGCTTCATTAGGTGGCAGCTCAGTGTTTATTTCCACTCAACTGCTTGTTGCCAATCACCTGAGAACTTCAGTGGATTTAAATTCAAACTGCATCAGAACGAGGAAGAAAGATGATTTCAGCATTGTTGCTAACCCTGTCCATCCCCGTATGACTCAGTCTACTCGTCCACTCGGATGATGCACCGCGTCACAAAGCTCAGATCACCTCTAAAAACTGGTTTCTTGCCTGTAATCTGGACTTTGACTGCAGACTGAGCAGGAGATTCACATCATGGACGTCCAGATAACAAATCTGTGTGATGCCTTCATGTCAATAAGGACAGATGAATGTTTCCTTCTCATTGTTAAAGCTGTGCTACAAAGAACTGAAGCAGCTCTGAAGGCAAACAGACGTCGAAGCTGATAAAATGAGCGAGTGTGTCAATCAGGGAGCGTTTGTTCACACTTTTAAACACGTTACTGGTGTCGAAGTCAAAAGAACCACAGATTAAAAAACAAAATCATTTTAAAGATCTTTGAGATCACATCTTACAGACGCCTCAGTCTGATCGCAGGCTTACTCCCAGTACTTGGTTTCTGTAAGTAAACTGGGAAGCTGAGTTTAATGTGCTTCTATTGTTACTTCTATTGTTTCCAGTTAAACATGAGCTTTGACTACTTTGCAGATCCACTTCAAAGCTTTTATTAGAATTGAAGCGGATCGCCAAGCAGTTTAACTTGAATGTTGTAGTTTGTTTTTCTTCTCTGCATTTCAGGAAGTTTCGTTTTGCCTTTGAATCCCACGTGGGATGGGCCAGGTGTTCAACATGACAAATAAGAAAATGAGCCGTCAGACCGGTTTCTGCTTCTTCTTCGCCAGCATCATTTCCTGCTGCTGCTTCGAGCGTACTTCCTCCAGACTCATGCAGCCGCCTGTTAGCGCACAAACAAACAGTCAGCGAAAAAAACAACTTTAAATATGACAATTAGATCCGCAGGTCCCGCCTCCTCACCAACACTGCTGGGGTTGATGGAAACATACGCCATTGCTCGGCTCAGACGCAGCTCCTCTAAGGCGGCGAGCTCCGCCTCCGCCTCTGCTCAGCCAATCAGACATCACAAAACAATTATCAACAGCGAAAATGATGATTTAAACAGCTCCGAGACGACGCTGATGAAATGTGACTCACTTTTCTGGATCTCTCTTCTCTTCTTGGGATTTGGGGGGATGACGGTGAAAGCTTTGTTACTGGGACAGGAAACACAAACTCTTTATTTCACTTTCCACGACTTTTCAAACACAAACACAGAATATGAGAAGAAAAAGTGAATCTCTAATCTGCTGATGGAGTAATAACATTTTATAAACCACTGGCTGCAGACACGCTTCAGAAATCTCTTATCAAACATAAACTGTGATAAAACCACAGAAACAAATCTGCTTCTCCTCTGATGGATGGGAGGGTTCACGCCACAGTTCTGGCTGCGCTGGATTGTGGTCAGGTTGTTTATGTAGGTCAGCCACAACCCGGCCGAGCATCAAGGCTCGAGTTCTCTCAGCCACCGAAACATTTCAACAGGATGCCACACCCGACATTCACATTTTTTCATTTAAGCAGAAAAATCTAAAGTGTGGAGGAGCCACGCAGACGCACCTGCTCAGGGTGGTAACGTGAGAGAACTAAAGCCCCGAAAACAAAACAAACCACCAGGACCTTCATCCTGAAAGGAAAGCAAACTAAAGCCCCACTGAGGGGGGGCAGGAATCAGAAGATGCTACAGCCCAGCCTCCTTTAAGCAGGGGCAGGACCATCATCCACCAGGTGCACCAGAGAGCGACGGAGGAGAGGGTGGAGGGGACAGGAAATCACAGGGGAAGGGTGTGCAATGATCTGCTTCTTCATCCACCTACTATTCTTTCCTCCCTGCTCACTGAAGGAGACCAGATGGTCTTCGTTAGTGAAGAGAAATAAGCAGCACAGCATGATTTTTATTTGTGAATCATTCTCTGGTCTTTGATTACATTTAAACTCATATTTCATCATTTCACTGGAATATTTTAAGGTGCATTTGTGTATTTGTGCACACATTTTCATCATGTGCAGGATATGGACCCAAACTCAGGAGTGAAGGTAAAACGTAGCTTTGATCTGACAGACTCTAGGACCTGAGGGCGAGGAAACACACAACCACAAGGGACGACTCAACGAAGGACAAGAGGACACTGAGACGGTTTCTACAAACACAGGATAACGAGGGGATGAGTAACAGAACGACGCTGTGGGAGGTTAAACTAACCTATAGAGACAAAGGACATTACCCGCCAAGTTAAAACAGGAAGAGCAACAACAACAGGAAAAACCATGAGTAATTCAACACAAAGAGACAAACAGCCAGACACGGGAACACAACGGAGGCGCGAACAAAACACAAGCCAAAGTGAAACCAAGAGCAGAACTAGAGCTGAAACTAAAACCAAACAAGGAAATAAAAAACCCAAACACCAGACTGAAATGATCCCAATGAGACGACCTGTTTAAATACAGGATTAAATAATCAAAAGGAATCCATAAAACATCAGCTGCAGCTCTAATCTGAGCCCCTCTGGAATGGAATGAATTTCTCTAAGCATGACCTGTCTGTGTCCTGCTCGCTCTGTACGCTGTCTTGATGGATTCTTTTAATTCCTAAATTGCCTCTAAATGAAAGAGAAATGAGGAGCCAGAGGAGGCTGCAGGAGGTGCTACAATCAAAGATGCACAGATGTGGTACGCAGCTGGAAAGCAGCGGGAGGAAGACCCTACAAACGAGGTGTTACCTTGGATTTAGAAGCTGTTATATTTAAGCTGATGGGAGAAAAAGATGAAAACAAATGTGTGATTTTTTTTTAATCCAGAGAGAAAAGCAACAAACTCCTGTGGAGATGTTGGGAACGTTTCCTGCCAGGTGTAAACATAGCATATTTGAACATCTCGAGTCTTCTTTGTGCTTCAAATCGAAACCCCAAATCTGACAGCCGGCCACACTGTGTGCTGCTGTGACTCGGACATGCAGCAGTTCACCTGCAGCACTGTCGTGCAGTTGGTGGTAAAACATGCAGGGATTAACCTGCTGCACCAGATGGCTGCGTGAAACTTTACTGCAGGACTACACGTGAACGCCTTCCCCTCCAAACGCTGACCTGCACGCAGCCTCGGAGAGAGAAACTCAAACATTCAGCGTACGCAAGCAGCTATTTGAAATCTGAGGGGAGATTCATTGTCCTGATTCAATAAATGAAAACTTCCAGATTCATGCTAAATTATTTCTACTATCTCAGAATTTTAAAAAAAGAAAAAGTAGAACTGTTAAACAAAAGTTATGCAAACATCCAAATGTTTTTCCAAAGACAGCAGACATCTCTATAAGACAACAGAAAAAATGGCATTAAATACAACACAATATGAATGCACTCATATCACATAATTCACAGTCCCCGCTGACTGCATGTCCAGCTTTACAGCAGAGAGAGGCCTCGATGGATGACTTCCTCCTTCATTTACACTGTGCAGGTGATCTTTGTCATTAATGCAATTCACTGAACTGGACCTGTGGACTGTGTTGGTGCTGCTGTTGTCTCTTAAAGCATAAATAAACACAATTACCTCACAAACAATCTGCTTTTGTGTTTGGTTCAGACCATCGTCTGACTTTTAATGAATGATAGTGTTTTGCTTGGATATATTTGGCTGATATCAGTGTTTACGCGTTTCTATTACAAATATGCTCGTTTCTCAAAAGTCCGAGAGTCAAATATAATAAAAGGAAAAAATCAGGCTTCCCAACTTCCTGTTGCTTCCTGCATGGTAAATAATTTTCTTAATGTTTCTAATAGGAGACGCTAAAATATCAAATACTATCGTTCCATTTTTTGATTTCCACAGTTTCTGTGAGCATTGGTGACGCCACAGACTTCTGCGTCACTTTCAACACGCACAACCAGCAGCTTCTTGTTTAGGCTTCAACTTCACTCCAAACATAGTGACGTGCCTGCTTCCATCGTTTCTACAGCCTACGTGTAAATCTGCAGCATCCTCTGTGGACGGACTGAACATTATTTTGAGCATAAAAACATTTTTGCTGTGCTGTTTTTACTACAGTCAGCAGGATGTTTTTAATAGTGTTTCGTTTGTCTTTATTGTAGTCTATTTAATTTTACTGAGCTACTTCTATCTGTTTGTTGTGTTTAACTTTATTTTTCGATGCTGTGATGGGTATTACAGTATAATAAAGGCGTTTCTCATATCCATTCTCCCTTCACTGCTGTTTGTGAGTGGTGTTACAGATGGATTCACGTGGTCCACTGGGTGTCCACGAGGCCCCTCTGACGTATCTCACCTGTGGCTTGTTGCGTACTTGGCCTCCGCTCGCACTGTCCGCTCCTCTCTTTGATATTTGGGCTCCACGGCGGCATCATTGGCCCTCCTGCAGTCCCGGTTCGCTTTGGAGCAGTTCTGTGGAGGTTTGGGGGCAGTGGAGGTGGACCTGGTTCTCCTCTCGCTCCCTGGTTTGGAGGGTGACCCCTGCGGCCCGCCGGTCGGTCTTTGGCACCGCTCAGGCTGCGGGTTTCTCGGACAGCTGGAGGCGCGGCTTTTGCGCACAGCGGGAACTCGGAGCTCACTCTGCGCCTCTTTGGCCGCTTTGGGTCTCTCCTGGGTTTTCCTCGTTGTATCGACTGGTTTAGGCTTGATGACTTTAGTTCCTGGCATTTTTACCTCATTGGGATGTTTCTGTATCCGGTCTCGAAGGTTGGAAGGGACCCTTCATCATCATCATCATTTTCTTCTTCCTCGTGTGTTTAAACAACATGAACATTAAAATCTTCACTTTTCCTTCACTGGTGAGCCGGTTGCTATGGCGCGCATGCCTTAGCAACCCCCGAGTCAAGGCTGACAGACTGCAGGAAAAATTCTAGTTCATTATTTCAAAATAAAAGCGCCGCAAAAACGCTCCTAACGGGAAAAATGTCTCGGAGAGAAAAGAAGTCTAAATAATAAAATCTCTTTTACATATACAAGATATATTTTATTTATTTCACGGCATAAATAACAGAAAGTGACTGAAAATAAACTAGTAACAATGAAGATTGCACAGAGCTGTTGCTAATTACAGAAAGTAAAATTTGGTGCTTTCAAATCAGACTATTATCTACTCAGGACTTTGAGCTATTCTTGATCAGATTTATCAGATATATTCTACAAAATATGCAGCTTTAAAGATTAAATAAAAGGTTCCAAGTAGAAGACGCCGAATAAGCAACCAAGTCACATAAAGTTAACAGACATACAGGCAATTTACAAAGTTGAGCTTTGTAAAAAAAAAATGTATTTAAGAAAACATTCTTGATTTGTAGTTTAAAGAAACAGGTGAGTCTGCTTTTGTAACATGTCAGAGGGATACTGATGTATTTTATTATAGGTTGCTTAAACAGGGTTTTGCAAACTGCTGCATCTGTTTTACTTTTGCCTTTTTTTCTCCTCCAGCATAAAAAATGTCATCAAGAAGCAAATGTCAAACATAAAGTTAGTTTCTCGTTTTATTTTGAAATCTGGGTGGATTTCCGGTTTTACTCCCTCTCTGCTTTCGCTCGAGGCAGGTGCGGATTAAAGTCGGTGACGCAGCAGAGTATTTGTTGTCAGGTCAATCATCCGATTACTGACACGCGACGCTCACGGGTCACATGACCACACATACTGGGAGCTTACAGGACACGCAGAGTCACTGGGAAGTTTTTCTCCCGGCTGAATAAATATGTGATCAGGGTTACCGTGGGTCCCTCCGTCCACGCACCGATGCGTTACACGAAGAACGTGGTTTGTGTTGAATAAACAAAGTGGTGCAAGACGCGTTTACAGGAAGTCATAATCCAACTAACAAAAGCTTTCATGAAGTGGTCAGAAACATCAGAGTTATTCCCGGTTAATGTGGGAACAGGTTAGAAAGAGAGTGAGAGCGATTTTATCTTTGTGAACAGTTTCTGTCCTCCTGTGTGCTTTATGCAAAGATCTGTCAGTGACTAACGTCTGTGGCTAAAGAAGTGCACGCCGTGGGTGAGTCACTGAAACTCTTGGGCGCCTTAGCTGCGCGTCGTTTACACGCCACAGCCCACCTGAGCTGCTGCTGACTGTGTCCATGTGTTTATAACCACAGTGTAGCATCTCCTCATGGCTGCTGCTAACGAAAGCAGGTCCAACCCTGGTGGCAGAGAGGTGCACATAATGATGTTGTGAGCGTATATTAGCAGATAAGAAGCAACTAAAGCTTTCAAACAAATGGCATGAAGGAGAAAGTAGCTGCATCCAGAGTATAAGGACTTTAAACTGTACTGCAGTGAAGGTGCTGAGTTCATTTACGATCTCACCACCGGCCGCTGCAGGGTTAAGTGTAGTGGTGCAGTTATTCCTCAGCTGTGGAGCTGTTTGTTTTGCACTCTGCACAGATTCCAGCTGCTGTCATAAATCTGATGTGGGATGGATTCCTGCGTCATTAAAATGTGGGTTTGTTTGAATAAGTGTGCAGAAAATAAGGCAAACAGGAAAACGTCGTCTTTTCTGAGTGAATCGCACAGTTCGTCATGCTCCACAGAGCTTCCTGCTAATTCTGAGGAAGCTGGAGTCTGTGAACATGACTCGTTTATTGTACAAGAAGAAGAAGTTAGCCGATGGTCAAACGGCTGAAAGGTATTTGGTTAAACTTGCAAACACATATTCAAATGAAGCCAAACTGAAGTTCTCAATCTGATGCTTTTGTGAACTTGACAAAAGGTCAAAGGTGAATCCTGTGAACAGGAAGTCTTAATCTTGACTTTGAACTTGACGCATTAAAACCATCAGATGGCAGGCTGTGTAAATTATTACTGTTCTACTTTCTTCTTCCTTTTTATAGCTAATTAAGAATGTCGTGGCGTAGTAGATCAGAACTTGTATTATGTACATTTTGATAATATTTGTTGCAGACACAAAGCTCACATTCTTTGGTAAAGAGCAGTTCAAATGAACTCTGTGCAGAGAGTCGGTGTTTACAGCTTCTGGAAGTCCTAAATGCCATAATGACCAAATGAGTGGCCTGAAAGAAGCTAACAACAGTTCTAAAAGGTTTATTTAACAGGTTTTTAGAAGTTAACGACACTGGAAACAGCAGCAGGAGATTGTGCAGGTAACTCTCTGATTACAGGAAGGTTTCAGATTCAAACTTAGTTCCAAGAAGAAGTGGAGCTGGTATTATCTTTATCTAGAGGCTGTGGAGGATGTCCTGACGGGACGGAGGAATCCAGAGGAGACTGGGAGAAGGAGCTGTGGAAAGCGGGCAGGCAGGTACACTGCAGGTGAGGATTCCTGGGATAGCTGGTAGCTACTGTGATAACAATTTATGATAACAAATTGAAGTAACAGGTTTGGACGGAGGAATGTCCACAACAGAGGAAGGTCATTAGAAAAATTACTGGAGGCAGATAAGAGCTAAAGGTTAAGCAGAGCATGACACAAAAACTTGTTCTAAGCATGAGGGCGATTAGCACTGTTGTAGTGACAACAATCTGACAGCGATGGAAGACCCAACCTTTAAACAGTGCTCACTGCTGAGAAAATGAAGGCATGTGTGATTAGCAAAGCCTGGGAAACAGAGACTCCTCCAGCTGCCGGCCCACACCTGCACCTGACAGGACAGGACCTCCAGACAGTAATCAGTGCTCCAAGTTCTTCACAGTTTGTGGACTTCTGCTTGTCTACATGCTTCCAAGAACTGATCATTCACCACGGTTTGGTTTCCTGACCATGGATCCAACATGCTGATCTAATGATCTCTGAGCCACTTTTCACTTATGCTCCATGTTTGAGGCAGGCTGTAAACGTGCCTCACAAATCTCAGGATTTTCCACAGACAAAGGATTTTTCCAGATTTCCAAAACAGAAGTTGGCTTCATCAGAGAAAGTAACTGTGCACCAACCCTCTGCTACCCCTTGAACTTCCTGCAGATTCCTTGAACTTTGAGGCTTCTCTGCTGTCCCTTGATGCCTCACTGTGCCTGCAGACGCACTCATGCCTGCTCACGTCTGGAACGATGACTCGGCCTCACTCTGGAGGAGGCGGCGCTCCGTCGTGCTGAAGCCTTCGCAGCAGCTGGACGGCTCTCGTGAAGCTTGTGATGATTCAGTTTCTCTCAAGTGGAAAATTCACAGAAGGAATTTCTTTGCATGCGAGGCCATTTTAGGGCTACATGAGTTCCTTTTGAAGTAACGTTGCTAAAACTGGAAGTTGCTGTGACATCAGCTGACTCGCACACTCTTTAATGTCTTTAATGCAACTTTCATACTGACAAAGCTCCTGCTTGTCACACTCAGAGGACAGAAATATATAAACATAACAACTGAGGCAGCAAAGTTTGCAAAACAGTGTTGGCTTGACTGTAGTCACAGTTTGTGGGACAGCTTACGACTGTGAGACACGCCTGTTCCTTATGCGACTTTTGGACATATCACATGGATCAAACAAGTTCAGGTTCTGAATCCTTGCATGATCACAGAGGGTCACAGGGTCAGTTTTTACACTTCAGGCTGAAACATCCTGAACACCACAGAAGGGAAAATAGTTAAAAATCACCAAATTTCAGCCCAAATCTATGAACTCTGAAAATATTAATAATATGAAGGCAAATATTAGGACTGTACCGTCAGTATTTTTGCATGGCTTCATAAAAATACTGAAGGTAACGTAAAAAGGAAAATATCGGCGGATCCTGAGGTGGTCGGATGGGAACCTTTGTCAAGTTTGGGTGATTTTAATGAGCCAATATCGAAGAGTTGCCAACATTCTGGATTAAATCAGCGACATCGCTCGGACTGCATGAGCAGATCTACCAGAGTTTATGCGTCTTTACCTGTTCTGCAGTTTTTCTAATGCGAACTGTTGGATTCACAGCATTTTCAGCACCTCGTGCCCCTCAATGACGTCTCTGACCGCGTCTTTGCTCCCAGTGTTGCTCTCACAGTAACACATCGAGCTGTTGCGCTGGTATAAACTGTGTTACAGTGTGCAGCGTGCATGCACGGCTGTATATCGGCGTCTTTGCGGTCCTCCTGAGCTCTGAGTGGTGCTGTCTCGCATCTGCCGCCCTGCAACGACTGCACTTCCATTGCATTTCTCCAGCAGCGGACTAACCAGGCCCCTTGCAGCCGCTACACGGTGCCCCCGAGCCGGGCTGATTCCCACCGCAGACCCGGGAGGTGAGACGGTGGTGGCACAGCGGAGGACGACGGACTCCATAACCGCTGCGAAGGCCGGATCTACGGCGGAGGAAAGCCCAGGATGTGATGAAATCCTAAACAAAGTGCGACACACACACAGACACACACAAGCCCCTGCACATCATAAACGGGCCCGTCTTGCACTGCAACTTTGCGTTTTGGGCTCTCGGTGGGCGCAGAGGGCGGATAATCATAGAGGTGAGGTCGGGGAAATTATTGTCTGGGGAAGGGTGACGCGCACTTCTCAGCAGCCCCTGCGCTGTCAGACGAGGAAGTGAAGCTTCACACACGCCCATTTGAGCCTGTCGACCCTGCTGAAAAAGCCCAGAGCCGCTCATCAGATAACACAGCAACGGACTTTCCAAACATGCGCCCACTTTCGGATGGACGGCAGCGGGAATAACCTGCAGGACGTCGAGCATTTCAGCAGGTAGGCGAGCGAAGCGCTTTACGCGCAACGTGGACATGACAATTCTTCAAAATGTTATTATCGTGAGATTTCTCCCCTGTGAAGGCCTGTCTCCATCTTTCTTTTTTCTTTTTTATAGTCACATGTATGATCTCTGGCCTAACTGTCACTGTGCACTGTGGCTCATTGCTATCACCACCATCGTCTGAGGCGGACACGTTCAGTTAACAGGCTGCGGGCCAGATGTCAGCATCTGCCCGCTGTGCGTGGACGAGCACCTGCCTGCGTGGTGGTTTTGCGTGAATTTAGCTTACTTCTGGCCGCACGCTCAGCTCCCATTTTAACCAGAAAAGCGACTTCCCAGAAGATCTTGGCCCTTATTGCGCCCTGATCTCCACATTTCTGAACTTCAAACAAAGAGCAGAGGCTCCTCGTGTATACTGTATACAGTGCACACAGATAAACTACACGCGTTGGTTCTAAATGGAGACTAATCGCTTTCAGGGTAATATCAGAGTTATTCCTGTCATTTTTAAGCAGAAATTTGTCGGTTCGAGTTGATAAAAGAAGTTGTTTTTATGTTTTTTTTAATCATTCTGCTGTTAAACTGAGCTCTGGATGATTCATATAATAAAACATGGAGTTTACAGACTTTAAACCAAGTTCTGGGAGTTCTTGATGGATTTTTGAGGCTGAAGCAGACTGAAGATAGACAAAGTGATAGACTGAAGAAATTATCTACATATCTTATGATATCTTTCCCTTGTCAAAACGATAGAGTGCACAAGAGTGCAGATTGTGATCTACCAGGAAATATATTTTGCAGGGAGACCTCCTGGACTTATCCTGGGGCTCCTGTGGTTCAGCGGGCCACATTTTGGACAGCACAGGGTTTTTAATCTTGTTGGCTGGTCAGTTTAGCTTAATCACATCAGTCATTTAAATCCTTCTTCAAACACACGTGACTGAAATTTGTTGGTTTCAGCAGAAGGTGATGGTTTAGTTGATTGTCTGGATATTAATCTTTGAGTTCTGTACTGTTGGTCAGACAACAAAAAACAGATTTTCAGTTCATATATTCCATAATAATAATACTGTGTTTATATTGAGTACAGATGCTAGAAAATAAACATCTTACAGGGGAACCTCCTGGACCCACACTGGGGCTCATGTGGTTCTTCCTGCCACTTTTTTGGATAACGACTTAATAACAAGGCGAACCATGTAAAGTGTCCATCGTAACTCAATGATGACTCGATGAAATGAAAACCTCAAGAGGAAATTATTTAGAAATCTGACAGAAACTCTTACGTAGTTTAGTAGATGTGCTGTGGGATTCCTACACACTTACACACTTTGAACAGCAAAACAAAATAAAGAAATAAAAACGTAGACAAACATGTTAGTTATCGAGTTGTGTATTTGCAAAGGTGGCACAAAGTTGTTGGTGAAAGCAATGTTTTATTCCTCTGTTAGGTCGGGCGTGTTAGTTACACAAATCAGACTTTTTTGTGTGAAAAGTGATGGTAAATAAATCAATGACGGTTAGATTTTCATTCAACATGATCAGTTTTCACAGGATTTATTGCACTAGAAGAAAAAAGGGGCCTCATGGAACCACACTGGGGCCCCTGTGGTTGCCACATCTGGACAGCAAAACGAAAGCACAGAGCCATGTGACACTTTTGCATTGTTATTGGCAGTAAATGTTATTGTTCCTGCATGTTGTTCTTATAAGTTCATTTTATAACTGTTTCCAGTAGCTGACTTAATGTCCCAGAGTCTTTGACTTGCTTTGAATTAGAGATGTTTCCATGTACGCCGGGAATCTTTTCTGTAAGTTTGTGGGCCTCACAGCCATCAGTCAGTCAGGAAGTAGTAAGGGTGGAACTTGGTCATGTTATAGCTAGCTGTATCAATATAAATACAACAGTGTGCATCTTTAAGTGAATATTGATATGAAAGTGAAGGGAGGATGCTTTTAAAATGCCTGAATTTTAATCATCAGCTAAATGCAGGAGGAGAAAAACACTGCTGCTGGACTCTGTGTCTGCCAGAGAACTCAGCTGCTGCGCTTAAAGGAGTATTCAAACCCTTATAGGCGACCCGACCTCCTCATTGTTTCCTCTCACATGTCTGCTGTTCCAGAGGTGGATGTGCAGATTGAATACGGCCAAGTCAGTGTATGTTCAAGCATTCCCTGTGAGCCAAAAGCTCGGGCTTCGAGCTACTCGAAGCACTCTGTTTTTACCATTTTTATGGCTACAATAGATATTTATGATGTAATAGAGACAAGATATTTCTAATACAGACATCTCAGACAGAGCAGTCCCTCCTGCCCCGCGCTGACAACGGACAGCCAATCAGAAGAAAGCCTTAACCCTTTAAGGAGGAGCTAAAATGTTTTGTTTTTTCTAAAACTACTTATTTCAGACAGGCGGTGGCTGAGGGACCACAGCAAGGCCACAGTGAGACAAAGAAGGATTATTCTGAGATTGAAAGACACTCATTATGGACGTTAATGTCGTGGTCATTTTGAGCAGCAGGAATGATGCCAGAAGCTTGCTGATGCTTACCCAAAGCACCTGGTTAAAGTAAAACTAGCTAATAGACATTTAATTATATATTTAAGCCCCTTAGATGAGAGAAAATCTGAAATAAATTCAAACTTATTCCCCCAATTCTTAGAGACGTATGCTGTTCCACCAAAAACAGCTCAAAGAATCATCAAACACCTAAATTGACCATGAAATTCATTGCTGTGAACATCTGACCACAGCTGTGTGCTGCATGTATAAAAATAAAGAGGTGCATTAGTCGTCTTTTAGTTGTGCAATTATTTCTTTTCTAATTTTGTTTTTCTGGTAGAATCTTATCTTTACATTAATCAAGTTTCAGTTCTTGTCATCTAATGAGGTGTTTGTGTTCTGCTCAGCTGCCAGCTCACAGTTCACTTCCATGTTCACCCGTATGTCTTGTAGCCCTCTGTGTCTCTGCTTCTCTGGCTTACAGAGAAAAAACAATTCAGTGTTACAAGATTAAAAACTGTAAAACAACAACAACCCAAAACGTGGCTGCTGGAGGCTGGGGGACAGTCGTTACTGTGTGAAATAATACAAAACAAGTAAAACTGTGCTAAAGCTGGGTTTAAGATTAAATTGTGCACTATTAACAGTTACTGCGCTGAACACTAGAAATAACATCACGGGTACAATAAGGGCTCCCAGCCAGAGAGCTGCAAAATAGCACAATATGAATATAAAACTATCATTCTTGTTACACTAATAGAAAGCTATTTTTTGCTGGGGGACCTCCTGGAACCACACCGGGACCTCTGTGGTTTTTCAGGCCACACTTCGGACAGTAAAGGAAGTAAGAAAAACCTGCAGAGTGTTTGCACTCTTGCTGCATGAAAAGTTACCTACGAGAAACCGAGGGGGCATTCAACAACAACAATGTCAGTTTAGCAGTGTTACTGCACACTCGAGTGTTTTATTTAAGGGAAAATCCCAGCAGCAAACAAAAACAAAGAAATAAAAAGACTAATTTAAAAAACTGAACCGAGTAAAACAAAGCTAACAAAGTCACAGCTAAACTGTGATCATAACATGTGCTCTGCTCTGTAACATATATGCGGCCCACTTTATAGCACATTTATAGGAAATGTGAAAGATTGGCTTTAAAAGTCGGTGACAGACATCAAGGTCGGAAAACGTGGCTCTGGGATTTTGAGACCTGCTGTGGGTAAAAGTACATATTTATGTAAGATATGACATGTTTGTTACCTGACTATAACCGCTATCACAGGTGTGGCTTTCTTTAGCACTTATCTACTCTAACAGAGCCAAAGCACCTTTTTTGTTACTGCAAATTACTGTAATGTGACTATAAATGAAGCCAGGTGGATGCTCCTGCGGGAACCTTTGAGATTCAGTCGTTTTCTGGGGAAGTTTACAGCAGCAACAAAACTCAAAAATCCGGCACAATAACAATGCAACATTCTGCTGAAAAATTAACAACTTCTGTCATTTAAAATAATCCCTGCTGAATCAATGCTTCGGTTTTTGTCTCAAGTCTCTCAGCTGCAGTAAATCTTTCTACAATAGCTCTGTTAGCCAGGCTTCACTCCAAGACGTGAGGAAAGAGGAAAATTGCAAGAAGTCAAAACTAATAATGTTCAAAAACTAAACTGACAAATATATTTCCACCCTACTTCCCATTCTCCTTGCCACACCAACATGCCAGTTCCTGTAAAAACTGTGAAAAGTTGCGGAAGTAGACAAATGACAAGTTCATGATGGGAAACTCGTCTAAATATGCAGCTGCTCCTCACTTGAAGCTGAAATGCGTCACATATTCACATCGATGATGAATTCATTCATTTTGATCTCTGTGCACTCTGGAAGGTAACAGCTCTCAGCAGGAACCATAGATATATACACCTATAAGCCACATCATTAGGTACACTTTGCTCAGACCAGCTGAACTGACTCTTTGTGAATCAGATTCAACAAGTTGCTGGAAACATCCCTCAAAGATTTTGGTCCACATTTCCTGTGCTTGCCTGCAGGTGTGGTCTTCTGCTGCTGAAGGTTCGGCATGCTGTGCGTTCACACCTGCTCCTCTGCATAACTTAGTTGTGATGATTTGAGTTACTCTCGTCATTCTCCTCTGACACAAACAAGCCGTTTTCACCCAACAGAGTTGTGTTCGCTGGATTTTTCTGTCTTCCTCTGTAAACCTTACAGACGGCCGTGTGCGTAAATCGCAGCAGATGAGCAGCTTCTGAAACACTCAGACCAAACTCACTAAAATCACCAGAGTAAATGTGATATCAGATGTCCTCCTCCTCCTTTTCCCTCATGGCTCCTTTGTGGTTATACACCTCCCTCTGCTCCTCTCATGTTGTCTTTGAAACGAGATAATTGTGCTCTAAATAACTGTGGAGGGGCACGTGTCCCACCTGTGTCCTGTAACTACTCCATACAGGAGCATTTAAGCAAGGCTTTAAGCAAACTAGGCAAGGTCATCATCTAAAATTACATTTAAATCATTTCAATATATGCAAACTCCCGTTTTGTAACATTTGCATGTCTCTGAATAATATAAAGTTTCGCTCACTGCACTGAGATGTGGAGGATCAGGGCTCGGCTGGTGGGAGGACGTTTCTCTGCTCTTTGTTTATGATGGAAGGAGGCCGGCTTTACAAAACAAACTGGTCATTTTTGTCTGCTTATTCTGAAGACGTGTAGGGACGTTTGAGCATCGACAGGATAAACCAACTTTGTTTATCTTCTTGGTGAAACGTTATTGTTTTTCTTGTTCTTGTTTTCTTTTCGGGTGTGAAAACTTCATGGATCCTGGGTCTGATGCATCAGTTGCAGATGCGTGAGCTGCAGCATGGTTGCTTTCATTGCTGATTAACATGTAGACGGTTTGCTCAGGTGGGTTTTTCTATGTAATGTCAGAAAAGTCAAAAATAAGAAAGAAAAGAAGTAAATTTTCATACTTGAGTTGTTCAAGCCAGAAGATATTTGGAAGTTTTGGCTTAAAAGTGACAGAAATGAATCAGGTAACGGTGTTTTAAGGACACTGAGGCAGTCTGCGGTCAGATAATCCAATAATTACAGATTGCGGTATGGAGATCAGGAGACGCTTTTCTGTTTTCGTTTTGCAGCGACGGTTCAGATTAACTGCTGCAGTGGCTCAAATCCAAAACACACGGCTGAAGTTGACACTAAGGGTGTCGTGTTTCACACAGCCGAGCGTTCGGCTTTAAAGGGCGAGGCGTGAGCAGGTCGTCAGGGGTGAACTTTAACTCCATCCAAAAATTCAAAAAAGGTGAATCAGAGTCGCCTTTACTTTAAAAACTGGCCTAAAAAGATGAAATAGTGTCAACATGAACAAAGTCACACGAACTTAATATATCAAAGCAGAAAAAAAGAGTTAAGTGGACTTTATACAACCTTTGTTTAGCAAATGTTATGATGTGTATACTCAGAAAATGTCAGCAGCCTAGATTTGTAAAGACAGTTTTGAGTGCTTGTGTATATTTGATGCTTTAACCTGGGCTTTATTCACTCAAAGTGCTTTTTAAACACTTATTTTAATAATTTTCTGCAGTTGTTTTCTGTGTTTTTACTTCCCCAGTTTGTTTCAGTGTTACGCTCAGAACTCAAACTCTCTTTACTTTGTTACAAAGTAATGCATTACTTTGTAACAAATAATGCATTACTTTGTAACAAAGTACTTAACACTCAGATTTCAGGCATTCCGTCCTAATATTGTGTTGGTCTCCCTTTTGCTGCCAACACAACCCTGACCCGTAAAGGCACGCACTCCTCTAGACTCCTGAATGTGTGCTGTGGATCAGCATCCTCTAAACCCTCTGTTCAGGCCTTAGAAACTCACTGCTGTGCTCCTCACACCATCCCTGAACCACTTTTTTTGTGGCCAGGCTCATTTTCCTGCTGAAAGAGGCCACAGCCATCGGGGAATACCATTTCCATGAAAGTGTGTACATGTTCTGCATCGGTGCTTAGGAGGATGGTACGTGTCGATGTTTGGGCAGAACGTTGCTTAAAGCATTACGCTGCCTCTGCATCCTTGCCTCCTTCCCATAGTGCATCCTGGCGGCAGGTGTTCCCCAGATAAGCAACACACTCATCCGGCCATCATGTGATGTAAAAGAAACGTGGCTCCTCAGACCAGAACTCCTTCTTCTGTTTCTTCGTGGTCCAGTCCTGATGCTCACCTGTCTGTTGTCTGTGGTTTTGGAGGTGGACAGTGGTCAGCATGGACTGGACTGCACCGAACTGTGATCCTGCATGAACTTTGAGCTACATTGGCTCTCTGTTGGATCAGACCACACAGGCAAGCCTTCACCCGTGCATCAATGAGCCTTGGCTGCTCATGACCGTGCCGCTGGTTCCCTGCTGTTCCTTCCTTGGTCCACTTTTTGACAGATACTGACCCTGCAGATCGGGAACAGCCCACAGGACCTGCAGCTTCAGAGAAGAAGGCGTCACAGTTTGGCCTTTTGTCAAACTCGCTCACATCTTCACGCTTGTCTGTTTTTCCTGCTTCACACACCAACTTAGAGGACAAAATGTTCACTTTCTCCCTGATGTACAATGATGGAGAGTCAGCGTTATTCACCTCACCTGATGTCATGCTGATCGGTGTATTTGCACTGCTTTAAAAGTCATTTATTACGCTACTAATTACAGCTTTAAGCAGCAGCATCACATTTGCATGTGCTGCTTAACAAAATATCAGAAGTACATTGACGTGTACCTGTCTGCTCGAATCTCTGTGTTAATCAGGAGAACACGCGGACCATCTTTCTTTCACTAACCCATTTAAATATAAGAATACAGCTGATAGACTCTACTTCTGGACAGCCAGACCTCAGGGACTGAAAATCTGTTTTTTTGTTTTCCTGGAGACAAACTGGCAAATTTGTTTGTCCACTCAAACTCTGAGTGTTTTTATTGCTTAAACATAACCAGGTGGCTTTTAATCATAACCCTTTGCAAGATTTTGCATTAACTTTTAAAGCCTGATTGCAAAAGGACCATTGGGTTAAAGAGTGTCTCTCAGGCAGACTTTGTCTTTGTTACGATGACAGTGACATTTGTAAATGTAATTACAAATTAAATTATGGGTCACAAAAGCAAAGTTTTTGCAAATAGATATTAATGACTCTCCTTCTGCCTCCCAGACAAGAAGAACACTTCCTACCCAGGAACAAGAGACATGTCTGTGTTTTAAATCAAAAACACATTTTAAACATCAAAACAGTCGTGTTGGACTTGAACTGTAGTCAGGTCCAGATTTATTCCACCAACTGTTCCACCCTCAAAAAGCAGTTTTTCATCCTTTAAGACCAGAATATGTCAATGCAAATCAATACGAATGAGGTAGTGAAGGCAGACGAGTGTCAGGGGTGATGTGTGAAAGCAGCAAGAGTGAAAAGGAAGGTTTACAAGACAGGAGTGAGACCTGCTGTGATGTAACAGGAGGCTGAAGAAGGACAAACCCACCAGAGGGACAGCTCAAAGTTAGAGGCGAGGCTGAGATGGTTTGGACGCGTGCAGAGAGGGGAGACTGGACATGTTGAACAAAAAGATGGAGCTGCCAGGCAGGAGAAAAAGGGTTGGTGTGACAGAGGAGGACACCGGGGATGGGATCAGGTAGAGAAGAAAGGAGAACAAGTGAGGCAGATGAAAACTTGTATCCTGAAACGTGACTGAAACCAGAGGCTTTTTAATGTTGTGCAGGAATCCCAAACAGTTGGGACTTTTGTGGATTTGCTTACCTGGATGACTGAGCGTGCATCAAGACGTTGTGCTGGAACAAATGTGGTTAGAAATGCACGAGCCTGTTCCAGCTTTTGTTACTTGAAAATCAAGCTGTGACGCTGCTTCAGCATCACTCTGGAGTGTCTCGCTGCTAGCTTTGTACAGAACAGGTTAACATGAGCTCGTGTTTGTGCCGATTGTTGGTTTTGGGCGCTTAACTGTTAGATTTGGCCTCCAGCTCGTCTGTGGGGGCGCCGAGGCTTCCCCCGCTGATCATGAATCCTCACGAGGAACGTTCGGACTTATTTCCATGTCTTGTGTTAATTCTGAGAACAAATGTTGCAGTGAGTTTGTTTTCTCTGGAACTTGAAATGCAAAGTATGCAAATTAACTCTGTGCCTCTGTGTGTGTGTCTGTGCCTCTGTGTGTGTGTCTGTGTGTCTGTGTGTGTGT